CTGACAACTTGGTACTTATCAAACAAGTTGGGGAGCTCCTGGCTTACGAAAGTAGAAGATAGGGATCGACTGGAGACAGAGTCCCCGGCTCCAAATAGGACAGTTTACATCTCTCCCATAGGAGTAACAACTGCCATGCCAATTGAAACATGCGGGCGTCAAACGGTTCTTGAGTTATCGTTGACCGTTAGGCAGACACTGAAATGCATAGTGAAATTGCCAAAACCTACCTAATTTTCATAATTAAAAAAAAATATCAAAAACTTGTGTGATGTGTTTTGGGGCCAGTCCTCATTCATTCACATACCAGAAACAAGCAAAATCTGTTGAACCTGAACTGACTTATAGCCATAATTTCCATTTTTGCCAAAAAGTGGACGTGGCTACGAAAGTAGGTCAACTGGTGTGCCTCCAAAATAGCGACGTCGTTCAAACCTCTCTCCATAGGATTGCAGGTAACAACTATATTGCAAATTTGAAACATGTGAGGTCAATACGGTTCTTGAGTTATCGTTGACCGTAGCCAAATGTTGACGGACGGACGGACGACACCCCATGGCAATAGCTCATCTTGACGATGTCAAGGCGAGCTAAATATGGTAAATAAACACGAAATGTATTTACTACCAGTCTTATGTTTTTCTACTCTCTTTCGCCTATTATTGCCGATAACTTTCTGTAAATGCCATTTAAATGCTCCTCTGCAAGACACAAGTACACCACACGCACGCCGCTGTGCACAAACAATAAGAATAAAGAGCAGGTGGGAAAGTGTAATCGCAAAATTTGTACGACGCTCGGTTTGTTTCACACTATCACAGCACAAATACACCAACAACAGCCTCCATTTTGGTATCTATGCTAGCTAAATGTTCACTTGTTCAAATTATAACTCTGCGTTTTGGTCCTGCCTACTTCAGAAAGATATCTCGTGAATTTCTTCACAAGCCTTCCACTCCACGAAATTGTAAATGGGACGAGGTGCTCAAATTATTGGCAATAATACTAATAGTAATAGATTAATAGTCTGGTCACTTTTAGGTCACGTGACTACCTACTATCGCTAGTATTAACTATTATATAGGCTACCGTACCCATAGTCCGCAAATGCAGACGTTATAACTCCGATTTGCTAATCTGAGGGTGCGGGTTTATCGTCTGCAGTCACCCTTGTGAAAATTGTTGCAATTTTTGTTGTGGGTATTGGATAGGTGAATCGAGTAGCACTGAGGGCGTGACGGGGGTATATCCGACCCAAAATATCAAGTACAGACCTTCTGTTTGTCAATATCGCTTTCCGAAGACTTTATCTCAGTTTCAGAACTTTGTTTTCATGCAATAATTCATCCTAGTCAGAGTAACTTCGATATTTTTGGCCATATTGGACAGATTTTTCGATCGACCAATGAAATTCACTTCCGGTAGCCTCGGGTTCACTCGGAAATAATAATTCGAAAAAATAATAGATGGCGCAGACTACCTACCATGTTTCCTGTTGAACATCGGGAATAGCCGAAGTAACCGGAAGTGATTTTCATTGGTTGACAAATGTGAATGAAGACAGAACATTTTCTTTGGATGTTTATATTTACCATTACGTTAACAACTTGATATATTCTTATGTTGTGGCCGCTACCAGGACATCATAGCGTGCATGCACGTAGATAAATGATTAAAGTTCAGATTAAAGTAAGTTCCACGCAATAGGAATGTATATATCGGGCGCATATATTACTCATAAGTGCCACCTCCAAACTGGAGGTGGCTTTCCGTGATTGAGATAGACGCGGCCGCAGACCCCATTACTGGGGTCTGCGTCGGCTCGGACTACCGTAACCATATCTGTTTATCGTCTTCGGTGTGATCTAGCAGTTTCCACAAAAACCACGCACGGTATCACTTAGTCCGCAAATGCAGACGTAAACTCCGCTTTGCTAATCTGAGGGTGCGGGTTTATCGTCTGCAGTCACCCTTGTAAAAATTGTTGCAATTTTTGTTGTGGGCATTGGATAGGTGAACGAGTAGCACTGAGGGCGTGACGGGGTTATATCCGACCCAAAATATCAAGTACAGACCTTCTGTTTGTCAATATCGCTTTCCGAAGACTTTATCTCCGTTTCAGAACTTTGTTTTCATGCAATAATTCATCCTAGTGAGAGTAACTTCGATATTTTTGGCCATATTACTATTAGACCGATTTTTTGAT